TTCCTAGCCTTTAATCTGGGATGAGATAGCCTGGAAAAAACAACTGCAGCTTTTTGTATACTCAGTGCTGCCACTTTATTTTCTTTAAATTGTGCTGGTGGATAAGATGGTAAAGAGATGGCCGTGAGCCAACACTGCAGCAGAACCAGTTACCCAAGGTACAGTTACAATGCTGAACCAACCAAATTACTACAGCTGACAGGTATATGGTGGATATCTGTGATGTAAATACTGAAACTAAGGTAACTTCTGTAGCCTAAAGAATTTTAGAGATGGGGGGGTGAAGAAAATTCAGATTAGATTAGTGTCATGGTATCGTTTCAACCAATAATGCTAACAGTTATTTTAAAAGGAAAAAAAAAAAAAACTAGATCTCAGACATTTCCATCTGTAACAAAATGAAGCTACCCAGTGACTCAAAATGTGGTGGTAAAAATCTGAAGTTTTTCTGTTAAATACACAAAAACAAATTCCTTCTACTAGCTCTTCCCCAGCCTCCTCCCTCCCCTGCCTTTGCAAAAAAACAAAAATAAACCCCAGACCTACTATCTCTTGACACTGATCCCATACAGAAAGCAGTTGAGGAGCAGCGTGTTTATTCTTTTCTTTTTGAGGAGCTATGCAATCCATGATCTGTCCTGAAGTTTCACAAGTCAACCCAAAACTGTGTGTGAAACAAACCAAGGAATCCACTTTGATGTAACAGCAGGTGTGTGTGTGTTTATTATTAGGTACACGCACACATCAGCTTTGTCACATTTTTGACAGTAACAAGGAACTGGTTGTCCCTGCCTCCCAAAAAAGTAACAGTATGAAAGATAAGAAAACCTACTTCAGTGGTCTCATTTCCAATCCCTGCTAAAAGGACACTGATCTTAACTAGTTAAAAATATTTTAATTCAACGTCCATTTTCTGAGAGAGAAATCAGCATTTAAACAGCATGTCCTGAGCTTTCTAGTAAACAACTCTTTTATTAATAATTAAAAAAGTTTCTTTGTTCTCTTACTGATGTTTAGAAGGGTCTTTTGGGCAGATCCAAGCAAACTAAACATATTTTGGCCCACCTCTTTCTTCCTCTCCTTCCCTTCTATGTATATATTGATGTGCTGGCTATTGTGTTTAAGCTCCACTGCAGCTAATACTAGTAAACACTCTCTTGAAAAGACTGAGTAAGAGCACTCAATACAAGAATTATGGCATCATTCTATTGCAAAAGACAGGATCTGCAACTGACCAACAAAGTGAAACAATAGAGAGTCCAGTCAAATGTCCAAAGTGAACAAGCGAGGAGGAGGGGGCGGGGGGAGTAGAGCAGGGGAAGAGGGTAGGGAGAAGGAAGAACCTACATTTCTCTCTCAGGGATAGGTATCTTATGTGTTAATTGTAACACTAGTAGGTACAAAATTTTCTAGATACAAGTGTGCTGTTTTTGAGTCTATGTCCTGTCCATTTTACTTACAGACCATCCCTTCTGAGAAACCAGATTCTGCAAAGCAACATACCATCCCATGAGACAAAATGCAGTTAAAAGAAAGGTTTGTATTCTAAGCAGCATTTCACTTCCCCCCACCCTTCAGTTTAAACAATTAGTTTCAAATAATGTGAATTAATTTCCTTTAAATTTAAATGCCAGTTAAATTCTCTCTCATTTGTGTAGGCTTTCAAGAGAATCACAAGCCAGATCCATTCTGGAATAAGACTATTTTGAGGCTCTGTTTTTGATGGTTACTTTCTATTAAACATTCGGTTCCAAAGGAACTGTTGCATAATTTGATATACCAGACAGTTACCTGTTGGTGGACATACTGTTGGGGAAGCTAGCCATATGTGAAACACAAAGCTAGATCAATCTATAATAGCAGCTAGAAAACAAGTTTTTAATTAAACACGTCATTTTATAGATTATAGAGAGAGGGCTTGAAATGTGACAAGACAGAACCCCAAATATGATAAAACTGCATCCACAGCGTGAAATCTAATCACATTCTTGAAGGCCTTTTGTTTCTGAACCACCTTACCACTCAGTAAGTCTCATCTACCAAATAACCAGAAAATTTTTTCTCCTCCCTTCCCTAACATTAACACAACTTCAATCATAGCAACAAGAGCAAGACTGAGGTCAAAAATATATGCACTGTGAACATTTCCATCTGCATCCCACTGTCTTTGGGCTTCTCTACGTATTGACTTCACATATGAAGACATATTGTAACAATGAAATAAGTTTTGCTCTAATGTATGGGCTGTTAGTTTTATCAAAATTGTCTACACTGAACATACCCCTATTTTATGTAAGTAGCATTCTTAATGCCCATGTTTTGATCACTATCCTTCCAGCCAAATGCTAGATAGATTCCCTACGAAGACAGCAAATGCCTCTGATTGGGGCCAGGGTTTGCTATTAAGTGTACTGTCCACCAATGGAGGAACATGCTGCCTCTGACAAATTCCAAAACCAATATACAACAAATTAAAACAAAGCAAAACTCTCAAACTTATATACCAACTCAAAAGAACAGTCACATACTTAACTTCAGTTTGATGGAGGAAAAATAACATTCCAAGAAATACCACAATAGAACAGAAGTTTGCAAATAGTGAGAATGATTGACAGTGAATTCATATTTTATAATCTGACGTGCACTGGAAAATAAATTATTCTATCACAGTAATCTGTACTATCTTGTGTAAATGAGTTTTTGTTTAGACCGGACATCCACCTCAGGATATTATGATATACTATTAAAAAGAAAAGGAGTAGTTGTGGCACCTTAGAGACTAACAAATTTATTAGACATAAGCTTTCATGAGCTACAGCTCACTTAATCAGAAACTACTACATGCCACAAGGGGCCACAACAGTGGTTCCCTTAACCCACCCAGCAATATTGTTAATCTATCCAACTATACTCTTATCCCAGCAGAAGAATCTGTCCTTGCTACTCTGACTACTATTAAAGTAGACAGTAAACAAACAAAGGTGATTTATTTACATTTCCCCAAAACTGAATATTTGTAGCAGATCAATAAGACAAGTTTAGGACAGACAGTGGTTTAACTCTCCAACCTGAAGATAAGAGGAAGTCAATCAAGTACATGAAAGGTACAGATGTGGTCAGAAATTATTGATATTAAACTGGGGAAGGATAGTACAAATTAGAGACTGAATTCCTTACATCCAACATTCATGTTAAATAAATCATACTGAAGCTGCAGATTTTATTGTTCTTGTAAGGCTTCACCAAGACAAAAAAGGCATGAGTCCATTTGACTGGCCTACCTTTGCTTTAAAAGTTATAGAGCAAGAAGCTCTTAGACAAGCAGTCAAGTCAGTAGAACGCAAGAAAAACCTTTAAAAGTCATAAAGGAATTTAAAATGAGGTTTGTAGTTAATTACATTCAACAGCAATATCAGCTACAGAAAGGAACAGCTATCAAAAAGAACCATTTTTTTTTTTTACTATAAATGACTCAGCCTATTATTTCCAAAGTTTTAAAAGATATATTACTACATGTTCTGCAAATAAAAAGCCTATGAAGTTTTAGCTACTTTAAAATATTAAATGTGAAAATTAGATTTCTATGGCCATTCACTATGAAAGGGCCATCATGTCTAAAAACTACTATCTTAAGTTTTCAACACAGTCCCCTTCAAAAAGGCACAAGCTTATAGATCTGCTCAAAATTATGGAGGAGAATAAACTCCTTTACAAAACAGTGTAGTGCCTGCAAGACACGTAAATAAGTCAGAAGCTCAAATCCTACCTGAGTTAACTATTTATCAGTCATCTAATTAGGAGCTAAATAGGAAGCAACATCAAAGAAAAGCTGGCAGAGATAAGTCTGTTCTGTGAACACTGACTTTTTCTAATACTTGCCCCATCTGGTACAATATTCCCAATTTTGTCATCCAGAGGTCAAGGTCTACGGTACATATTATCACCAGGATATACAAAAGCAAAAAAAAACCAACCCACGCGTGTCCAGGTTTTCATCCTCCTCCGCCCCACATACAGAACTGGGCCCAGCGATAACTGGAAAAACAGATCAAGGGAGGGCGACGAAGGATCCCACCACAGGAGAGGGTGACGAAGAGCAGCATTTGCTCGCCTGAGTGGCCATCTGCTGTGAAGCGCCCAGCGTGCGAACGGAACACTCGGGCCGGGTCCCCACGCAGCGATCGCCCCACGCCCCGCACGAGCTGGGCCGAGTCTGGGGGCAGGGTCGGCTGTAACCCAGCGACCCGCCTCGCCCCTTTCCAAGGGCACAGGCAGCAGGGTGCGGGGCAGCCCCCAGCGGGCTGGCGGGCGAGCACGCGTCGCCGGGGAGACCCGACTGTCTCGGCTTCCCGCCCCCCCGGGGGATGCTGGCGTCTCCGTCCGGCCCCCCCAGCAGCAGGGCCAGGAGCGAGCCCCGGAGCGGGCAGCTATGCCCGGAGCTAGGGGAGTGTCTGTCCGTCAGTCGCTGCTCCGCGGCAGGCGCCTCCGACTTACCTTCATCGTCGAGCTCTAGTTTCTCCAGCATCCCTTCAGAGGCGGCCGGGGGCTGAGGAGAAGCCGGAGCCGCCGCAGCTGCCGCCGCCTGCGGAAGGGGGAAAACGGAGAAGGGGATCAGCATCCAGGCGCGGACCTACCGGACCCGCGGCGGCATCGGACGCAGCCCGGCGTGGCAGAGGCTGAGCCGGTCTGACCGAGGGGAGTAGCCGCCGGGCGGACGCGGAGGGCGGCTGCTAGCCCGAGTCCGTATGGGGATGAGGGACGGGATCACCCTCCAGCCTGACGGGGCTCGATTTGTGCTGTCTCCTACACGCACTGGGGGAGGGGAGGAGGCGGGACCTCCCCCCCCACCCCCGGCGGCTGCTCCCAGCCCATTAACCCTTTACAGCCAGGCCGGGTAGGACTCTGTCCTTTGGAGAGGCCGCTGGCCTGTGACGTGGGAGGTCTCGCGTCTCCTCAGCATCCTTCAAGTCAGCGAGCTGCCGTTTACGGCCGTTAGATTCCACAAGCAGCCAAAAGAACCTTTCGGTGAGAAAGTTCCACCCCTTCCTCCTCACGGTCCCCCTTTCTGGGGCCTGACCGGGATTTGGAACATTCCGCTTTGCAGCAATCAAGCAGGCTGCTCTACACAGGAGGGAAGGTAACTACCATTCACACAGAGAGCGGGAGGGGGGGGAGGAGAGACCGGTGGTTGTGCTATTGCTACTTGCACCCTGGGTCAAGCCATCCACCTTTCCCTGTCCAGCCTGCAAGGCGAGGGCGGGCTGTTAAAGCCGCCTGCCATTCTTCCCAGGGTCGGGGTAAGGTAACCTGCCAGGAGGAAGCCCTTCCCCCGACAGCCGGCGTTGGTAGTGTCCGATATATTTACCTGCTAAGGCGGCCGTGAGCAGCCAGTCCCACCGCTGTCTAGCGGGGGATGCTGGATCCCACCTCCCCACTGCCAAGGGTGGGCCACCTTCACGAGGCATGTCTTTCTCAGGCTGTCCTGCAGACCAGTCCCCGCTGCAGTCCCTGCCCTCCCAGGCGTGTCCCGGGTCCTGGTGTGCCTGGAGACCCCATCCTCCACCTCCCACAACATGCCTCTCACACCTACTGTAGGCCCAGCCTCCCAGGACAGCGAGGGTCCCAGCCTGGCTGTGGCACTGTGAGACACACAAGAGTCAGACCCCAGCATTACAGCGGGCCCACAACATTCAGCAAGTCCCAGCATGCAGTGGTCCAGCTTGATGCCAGGGGGCCTGGTTACACTGCATGTCAGACTGTTGTCTGTGCAGGCCCCATTTCTCTGAAGTAAAGATAAAGATGAGTGTCATCTGTCCTATTCTGTACTCATGAAACAGAGATGCTGTGGTAAATGAAGCTGTAAGGAGTGTGGGGACCGGATTTTGGACAGATGGAACAAGTGGAGTAGTCTTCATGCTCCTGGTAAGTTACTGTACTGTTGGACAAAGTTTGGACAGCCCCTTTTAAAGTGATCATTCCATTTTCTTTATGAGTTTCTGCTACACAGGTGCTATAGCTTGTTTAAATACAGCAGGTCTTTTCCACATTAATGACCAGGTGTAAAATATTTTAAGGTTCTTATTTTACCTCCACTTTTCTAAGTCTGTTCATATAAAGTACACATTTTTTAAAGTAAGGGTAATTAACCACTGGAAAAGTTTACCAAGGGATGGGATAGATTCTTCATCATTTGAAGTTTTTAAATCCAGATTGGGTTTCTTTCTAAATGAAATGCTCTTGCGCTTAATCAGAAGTTATGGTCTTGATGCAGGAATTAAAGGGTGAAAGTATATGGCTTTTATTATGCAAGAGGATAGACTAGATGATCATAATGAGTCTTTCTGGCTTCATAGTCTATAATTTAGAAAATGAATAGACTGAAGTTGTTAGTCACTAAAGTGTGGATGCTTTAGAAATGTTCAGCATAAATCACACTGGCTGAGACAGGGTAATGTAAATAAAGTTTACATTATCAACCTTCTGAATTAGCATATACTTTTTGTGGCCCAAAATCACGGATTGCTAGCAACTGGCAGAGACAGGTCCAGGGGGATTGAGTTCTTCTGCTTACCTTGTTACCTAACCCCTTCTGCCTCTTCCTCGGAGTTTTCATTTTAGTTCTTAATGGTTGTCTCTATTCATCTCTACCCTCTTATTTAACTGCCTTTTCCTGGGACAGCTACTGACTTATTTGTCTGCAGGGCTCAGAAGGAAACCAGGCTTCTCTCTGCTGTAGAGCTTCAAAGGAAGCATTCCTTCTCCTTAGAAGTAGGTTCTCTATCCCTTGCTGAGCTGTGGCAGCAGATGCTAGTAGACGTTAGAAATGCTCCATGATGCAGAGCATGGTGCTTCAAAGGAGTCATAGCAACCATGTAGAGAATACTAAGGTTTATTTGGCTCCCAGTCACAGGCACTGGCTGCTGAAGGTGAGGAAGTCTTCCAAGGAGAAGGCGGACAGAGGACTAAGGCATTCAATATTTCTTGCTTTCCAGCAGAATAACATGCACAAAAACTAGGGAACACCACAAAATGTGTGTTAGTGAGAGTTAAGGGTTGAGAAGGGAGTACAGAACCTTAACAATTCTAGCACAGTTCTGCATGGCAGCTGCAAAGAAGGAAAATAAGAGCCTCAGGGGGGTTGGGTGACTGCTTTCTACCCCTAAACAAACCCCTTCCAGTGGACTTTAATATGAACCTTCATTTGCTCAGGAAGTAGGAGTGTCCAATTCTTGGTCATAAGAAAGACCACCATGAGGACACTGTGTCAAGTTTAACTCCAAACAACTTGTGTGTTGTTTTTTGTAATGGTGAAATATTATGAATATATACCTCAATGAATATTGTAGCTGATCAGCCATATAAACCACCAATACTGCATACACTAAGTAGCAATACTTCAGAACATCCACAGCATTTTAATTATATCTTTTATTTCAGCTGTGCTTAACCCCCCCCCCCCCTTACAATTTTCCTTTTATATCAGTTGTCTTGATATTGATCAGGGTAAAATGTGCTTCTTACCAAATTTTTTTTGTTTGTTTAAAAAAGAACCCCAAAACCATTAAGGTGTCACCCCAACTCAAACAAATATAACCCAGTGCCTGTAGTGGCCCCTGCAGTTCTGTGGGGAGCTATCACAGCTCCAGCTGGTAAGGAGCTGTGAAAATTCTGGGAGGAGGAGCAAGGTCAAGGGGGACACCTACCCTACCCCCCCCCCCCCCCACATAGCAAATGACACCCATTTGGAAGAACGAAAAGTAAACTTGTCAGAATGAAGAACACCACTGACGTGTATCTTAACAAAAATATTTACCATGGAGAAAAAGTTGTGAAATAAGGTTGCCATCTCTGAGTTACAAAAAAACAAGACATCTGGGATAATCCTGAGCCAATAAAACTGAGTACCCTTGCAGACTTTTCAGGACAGCTACCTCACAAAAACAAACAAAACAAACAAAAAAAATTCTGGGAAAACCCAGACAAGTGGTGGCCCTACTATGAAAGTAAAACTTCCAATAAAGAATACATACATTTCAGGAGAAAAATTAATATTGATAGGACTAAACTAGTAATAAAGCATGTTTTTGTAGGATCAGGGAATTAGCTACAGAAATCTGGTTTATTTTTTAATTAAAAAGGATATAAATTATATATAGCTGGAAGTCCAAAAGGGTATTGATTGTCATAGCAATATCATAGGGCATGTTTCTAGTGAGGTCCCACGGGGATTGGTTCTTGGCCCTAAGCTATTATAACATTTTCATTAATGACCTGGAAGAAAACATAAAATCATCACTGATAAAGTTTGTAGATGACACAAAAATTAGGGAAGCAATAAATAATGAGGACCGGGTCACTGATAAAGAGTGACCTGGATCGCTTGATAAGCTGGCTGCAAGCATACAATATGCATTTTAATATGGCTAAATACATCTAGGAACAAAGAAATGTAGGCCACACTTATATGATGGGGGACACTGTCTTGGGAAGCAGTGATTGAAAACGATTTGGGGATTGTGGTGGATAATCAGCTGTACATGAGCTCCCAGTGTGCCACTGTGGCCAGAGGGCTAGTGCCATCCTTGGATGCATTAATAGGAGAATTTCAAGTAGGAGTTGAGAAGTTATTTTAACTGTGTGTTTGGAACTGGTGTAACCACTCCTGGAATACTGTGTCCAGTTCTGGTGTGCACAATTCAAGAAGAATATAGATAAATTGGTGAGGGTTCAGAGAACAGCCACGAGAATGATTAAAGGATTAGAAAACATGCCTTATTGTGATAGACTGAAAGAAGCTCCATCTATTTAGCTTAACAAAAAGAAGGCTCAGGGATGACTTGATTACAGTCTGTTAGTATCTACATGGAAAACAAATATTTAATAGTGGGCTCTTCAATCTAGTAGAGAAAGGTATAAAATGATCCAATGGCCAGAAGCTGAAGTTAGACAAATTCAGACTGAAAATAAGGCTTACATTTTTAACAGTGAGAGTAATTAACCATCAGAACAACTTAGCAAGGATCACGGTGAATTCTCCATTGCTGATAATTTTAAAATCAAGATTGATGATTTTCCAAAAAGATATGCTCTACGAATTATTTTTTGGGAAGTTCTATGGCTTCTATTATACAGGAGGGCACACTAAATGATTGCAGTGCTCCCTTCTGGCTTTGGAATCTATGGATCTATTAAACTATGAATAGATGTTTGATTGGAAAGAAAAATTATGCCAGATTTTAAAATTATGTTTCTTTTTTTAACACCACACAATAAAATACTAAATACCCAACATTTAAAAAAAATTCATATGTTGTTTGTAGCTTACATTTGACACACACACCCTGAAAGTACACAACGTATTTCACCTGCTATAGTACATAATAAGCCATAAGAAGACATTTAGGCCCAAATCATGCCATAAGCTCTATGCCAGCAAACCTCACAATCATCACTGCAGGATCAGAGTGTTAATTTTTTTGTGGGAAAAACTGTATCCAAGCTGACAATATGAAGACAAATTCAATGTAATTTAAAGATTATTAACCCCTAGTAATATTTGCTAGTGTATACGTAACACTACATTGCGGATAGCTGTTTTACCAAAACGACACTGTGCTATAATTGCCTCTGTACTGCTCATAAATGCAATGGAAACTAAGAATCTCCATCCTTGCATTGGAAATTCCATCTTTCGCTCACCCACTGTGTAGAACTGATCAATGAAATTGTTTTTAATTGTTCACTTTATTAATATAACTTCATAAGTAAAGTTTTATGAATGAAACAACATTCATTCATAAAACCGGTTACCCCAATAACTGGCTAATTGAGTTTCACTTTCAATCCAATTGCTGCTTAAATCGCTGAAACTTGCAACATTGTAACTTCTGTTCACTGTTTGCCATTCCTTACACTTGTCCATATTGTAACTCGAACTCCACTTTAACTTGTCCCAAACTCCATTTTAAAATGCGCACTCCATTTTGTAAAAGCTTGCTGCAACCTTCATTTTTGCAAAACCCTGCTGTAATCTTATTAGTTTAGTTGTCTGAATGAGGTATGTATGGATGATGGAATCAACCTCCAGCCCCAGCCCGTCCTAATGAAATAAAGTGTAAACACCCAAGGGCTGAAGATGCAGACAACAGCCCTGACAAAGTAAGAAGAGTCCACCCTCAAAAGAAAAGAACAATTGAAGAAACATCAAAGCCAGGTCCCAGGCTGAAAGTCCTGTCTGCAATTGACTGGTGATCAATCACACTGAACCCAGATTTCAGAGTAACAGCCGTGTTAGTCTGTATTCGCAAAAAGAAAAGGAGTACTTGTGGCACCTTAGAGACTAACCAATTTATTTATAAATAAATTGGTTAGTCTCTAAGGTGCCACAAGTACTCCTTTTCTTTTTACTGAACCCAGAGGCAGCCTGACACAGCAAGACCTATAGACTCTGGATTCAAACTAAAGCCTACAAAATGGATGGGTGAGATGGAAGACTTTGGAGGGTGACATTCTGCTGCCAACATGGAAGGGTATAACAACTGTGAGCTAGCCTAGCAGGATACTGGCATGCTAATATTCTGAGATCAATGAACTACGTCAGCACAAAAGGATGAGTCATTAAGGTCTAGGAGAAAAATCTGTTCTACCCCAGACAGGGCTGTAACTCCCATTACATTGATATGATATGGCATAATGTAGGAACATCTGTGTATTTAGACTATTTAATCTGCTGCCACAAAAGGTTTCTAATAGCTCCTTTAGTCTGTACTAGGTATAGTATAGACTAGTTTATACTAATATATAGTGTATGTATTAATATACTAAGACCTTGTCTAGACTAGGAGTTAAAGGTATGATGTTAGAATGTGTTAGATAACGTTTTAAGTCTACTGTAGGCAAGGCAGTGTATACTTGAACATGCA